TGTGATTTCAGTCTCTCGCCATCCACCACGGTGTGAAAACGTTCCACGGAAAGTTCCAGAAATAACAGCTCAGAAGTGTTACATTGCAGGCCTTGTGGAGTAGCATGATAAAACCTTGTGCTGTCCCGCATGGGGCGGGAAGCATCCTTCTGTCCAGTGCGTCCACACTCCATACTCTGCCCAACCACAGCTTAGAGACAGTCTCTGTGATCAAATGGACCATCGGGCTATCACTGCACTTGGGCCCCCACGAGCCTTCTTTTACTTATAATGGCTCCAAACACAAGAGCAGAGATGCTGGTAACTCAGAGAAGCCCTGAAAGTGAAAGTGCTTGGGGCTGGCGTTGTGGCATAGTGGGTTAAGCAGCTGCCTGTGACACTGGCATCCCATTTGGGCGGAGGTTCAAGTCCCTGCTGCTCCACTTCCCATCCAGCTCCCTGCTAATGGCCTGAGAAAGCAGCTAATTCAAACCCCTCCCAGCCCGACAAATGCCTGTGTCCTGACTTATGTATCCGTCTCCAGCTCTGAACTAAGAACAAGGATGGTGCAGACCCTGACTGCCAAAGACCCCCTGCTGCCCGGTTAGGGACTTGCCCAGCCTGCAGGCAAGCCCAGGATGGCCCAATGCAACTGGGGTGGGGCCTTCCTGGGGTGGCGGTAGTGAGCAATGTGGCTGGTTTGAATGTGTGTGTGCAAACCAGAAGACCCAACTGCGCCTGTGCAAAGCACTGAGCTGGGTGCAAACTGAAGTGCCGTGTGCTGAGGGGGCGTTGCCATGCCTCCCCACCTGATAAGAACCCTGCTCAGCTCCCCTCACTGGTGGAATGTCTTTGCTTGGTGCTGTCGTGCTGGTGCTCAGACAGAAGTTTCCAATAAACCTTACCTGGGCTGCACATTGGCCTCTTGTTGATTTGTATTGTGTGTGTGTGTGTGTGTGTTGATCGAAGAACCTAGAGTGGGTATCACCCAGGGCACAGGCATCATCTTGCTCCGACCCGGGTCTCAAAGGCACAACTCTGTAAGAAGCCGTCCCCGTCGGCGAGTTCTCTTGGCTCATCCTCAACTCAAAATACCTGTAATTTAATTCCAAGAACCTTTCATCATCTGGCTACTTAAACCACCCCCTCATGACTTCCCAGCCTGACCCTGGGACCCGAGCCAAACCAACCAGCCCTGATGGCTTCCCTTTTCCTCCTTCTGGCTTTCACGGGTCACAACACCTTGTGCTCAGCCCCATTTTACTGATGGAGAAACTGAGGCGTACAGAGGCAACAGAACTGGCCCCATGTCTATTTAACCTCGGCAGTGGCGGCCTTTCCATGTTGCCTCAAGATGCCTGCTTCCGATGGAGAGCGCTGTCTCTTGGAGTCCTGGACCCGACAAGTCCTTTTGTGAGCAGAGGACACTCTCTGTCCAAGCCCATTTGCTTGCACGTTGAACCCCCGAGCTGGGGAGCACTGCCAGGGGTGACGAGGTGCCTGCATAGCTCTGGGCCTGGACTGGAAAGCATCCGTGCCAGGAAGGCCTCCGGCCAATTGCGGACTGGCTGGGTGGGCCTTGTGCTAAGCGCTCGACCCATTGCTAACAGCCCTATGAGGGGCAGAATCTGCTCATTTTCCAAGAGGGAGAAACTGAGTCTCCAAGAAGAAACATGGGCCAGCCCCCAAAGATGGAAGTGGGATTCACAAGTAAGTCTGTCACCCAAACTGGATTGGAGGCGACATGCATGGCGGAGTGGCTGTGGGCAGCACCCGGAGGCGCTGGGCTGGCTGGCGGCCCCTACCACTAACCGCATGTTCCCAGCTAACTCCTTGGGATACAGCTCTGGGCTGTTGATAGACCACGCCCCCGAGGCTGCTGTGGCCTCCTAGGCGGGACGCCCTGTACCCAGGACTCTGTGAGACCAGTGCTACTGCTTAGAGAGGGGGAGGAGCCTCCCAAGCCTGACCGAGCCCCCCAGAACCTCCCCAGGGGCTTAAAAACATACCAGCTCACCTGGGTGCCACTCCAGCTTCGGAAGTGGGACCTGCTTTTCCAAGTCAGCGCTCAGGAACTAGTCGCACAGCTGAGCGTGGGATTTCATTCACACCAGCAGCTTACGCTGTGCTGGCTCAGCAAGATGCTATCACGCGTGTTATATCCGTGCGGATGCACAGCTGAGTGGCAGCCAGGTGACATGGGAAGGGGGCAGGGGGACGAGGGCTGCCTTCCCAGGCCACAGAGCCCTGGGTTTGCCTTTGTTTATATCGCCTCTGTTCATTTCCTCACGGGGATATTGGTCGCAGAGGTCTCCATTACCCAGTGATGAGGTGCAAGTCCCATCTTAAAGGCACAGGGGACAAAGGCAAGAAATGAATGGGGCTGGCAGCGAGGCACAGGGGGCTGAGCCACTGCCTGTGACACCAGCATCCCATGGGCACCCAGCTCCTCCACCCTCTGATCCAGCTCCCTGCTAACGTGCCTGGGAAAGCAGTGAAAAGTGGCCCAAATGCCTGGGTCCCTGCCACCTACCTGGGAGACCCAGATGGAATTCCAGCCTCCTGAGCCATTGTAGTCATTTGGGAAGTGAATCAGCAGATGGAAGATCTCTCTCTCTCTCTCTCATTCTTCCTTTCAAATAAATAATCAATTTGTCTTGTTCTTTTGTTTTTAAATAACTGAAGCAAAAAACCTAAGTTAGAGCCTGGCCCTAGCAGGTACTCAGTAAGTGATGGATTCTTTATTTTAAAAAGTTTTTAAAGATTATTTATTTATTTGAAAGGCAGAATTTCAGAAAGAGGGAGAAAGAGAGAGACCTTCCACCTGCTGGTTCACTCCCCAAATGGTTGCAACAGCCAGGGCTGGGCCAGACTGAAACCAGGAGCTTCATCCAGGTCTCCTCCATGGGTGGCTGGGGCCCAAGCACACTGGCCATCTCTCTCTGCTTTCCCAGGCGCATTAGCAGGGAGCTACAGCAGCCAGGGCTTGAACCGACGTCCATATGGGATGCTGGTGTCGCAGGTGTCGGCTTCACCTGCTATGCCACAATGCCAGCTCCAGTGATGGCTTCTAACTGGAGGCCATGGCGGCAGTGCCCTCACTGCCTTGGGATCCCAGCCTTCACCCTCCCACGCAGTGGAGAAATGTCACTTAGTCGTAACCCGCCCTGGGCACAGTGCACCTGCGAGGGCCACACTGCCCCATTGTCACTGGGGCTTCTTTGAGTTTGGGCAGCCGTGGAGACACAGGGAGCTGCCCAGGCACCAGCCCGCCAGGCAGGCAGCCTCTCATAAGCAGCACGGAACACTGGGCAGATGCTTCTGTCACCCACTCCCTCCGCAGTGCTACCACAGAAGTGACAGTTGGCTCACAGGGCAAGTCCTTGACTTTCAGATGCTGCAAAGAATGTTGCTGGGGACCAAATGGCTTGAGAGCTGCTGGGACAGCACTCCCGATAAACCTGACACACTGGGCGCTGGCTCCACGCCAGGAGCTTCCCAAGGCTTCTGCCAATCTCATCCAAGGCTCACTACTGGCTTCCGGCCAGGTGGGCTAGGACCCACTCTGCAGCCAGGTGTGATTGGACAGAACATCTTAGACAACTTGGGTTGTCTCTCCTTTACTCCTGAGCAAGGGAGATGATAAAGGGACAGTGACAGGTGAGAGGCTATGGCTCCCTAGTGCCTCCCTGGGGTGCTGTGCAGGTACCTGGGTGTGGAGGTTTTGGCAGCCTCCCTGTTATGAACTCCCACATAAATGACAACTGTCACTCTGGAAGTCACCTCTCCTGGGCCGTGCATCTGTCTCGGTTTCAGATCGCAAACCCTAGCTTTGCTGGAGCAACCTCCTTGTGTACGAGGCTGCTCTGAAAGATGAGTAGAAAGTGGAATTAAAAGCCATATTTATTTGGGTGCCCACGTCCTGAAATCCACGTGGAATGAGTCTTTAAAAAGTTACAGGAAATGTGTATTATGAAAAACCATACCCGCATTTCATAACTTGGGTGCACCCAAATAAGTATGTATTTTAATTCTATTTTCCAAGAACTTTTTGAAGCACCCTACACACCAGAGCTGCTGGGCCAGAAGCCAAGGCATCACTGCTCTCAATGGCTGCTGATCTAAACACACCTGTGACCCTCATGCCCACCTATTCCCCACAGGTCGAAGTCCTGTCTTGCAGAGGGGTCCCCACACCCCAGACTTAACAAAGCAACCGTCCTCCTGGCTGACCCGGGGGGAGGCAAGGGCATCTGAACCAGGGCGATGTGCATCTGAAAGCTGGTTCTTAGTGTATGTCCTGGCCAGTTCTTCTCAGGCCCTGCTGTTCTGGGGACAAGGCTGAATGTCTAAGACCAGGGCACAGGCCCTAGAGAAGGAAGGAGATGAGGGCTACCTGGTCTCCGAGAGCTTCTCCGGAATCCTTGCCTGCCTCAGCTCCCCCGCCTGCAAAATGGGGACACTATCACCCCCAGCAGGACTGCAGCAGCCACCCTACAACCCATGCCCTCAGCGTCAAGCCCCCACCTCTCTGCTCTGCAACCTCCCCCTTATACCTGTATGTTGACCCCAGCGGGTACCTCTGGCCAAGCTCCCGTGGGGCCCTCGAGAATGCCTTGGGTCAGAGCAGAGGCACACTTCACTGCCACTGGCAGCTTCTTCTACCCTTGCTCACACATCAGGAATCACGGGGCTGGCTGGACCTCACAGAACTCAGGGAGTCCAAGATCATCAGTGTCCTACACAGAGGCTGGGAGTCCCTGCCCAGCATTCACCTGCCCCTCCTCAGTGTGGCTTCGATGGGGAAGAAAGGCCACTCCCATAATCCTTCTCCCCACCCAGAGGGAGCTCATACCAGGCTTGGGGACGGAGTGGCACCACCTGCCTGCCCCACACTCCGGTGGGTCTAGGGTAGGGCGAGCCATAACACTCTCGGGAAGATCTTTCCAAAGAGGAAGGGAGCATTGGTGATCAAGGGGTGAATTATTTCAAGAGCCCAGACTACTGAAGACTTAGAGTAACAAATGAACTTTTAATGGATCTCGGATAAAAAACTACTCAGGGCAGGTCAATGAGCCGTTCAGCCCTCACTCTGCTAGAGCCCCATCTGAGGAGCCCTGGGACGTGGGGTTCGCTGGCTATTTCCATGCTGGCACACCCATCATCTGCAGTATTAGAAAAACAAGGCCTATTGGTTTAGTTAAGTGTGCGGCCGGGAGCCTCATCCGGGCCCTTAGATTCCGTACTTCTGCTTGAGCTCCTCCACTTTGTCCACGTACGCTCTCATGGCGCTCTCCTTGGAAGTCCCTGCGAGGAACCGACAAGAGTATTAGGCAAGGAGGCAGCAAGCAGGCTCAAGGACCCTAGACAGCTCCGGGGGGGGGGGGGGCAGTACGAGGGGATGCTCAGTGTCCCCCAGAGTCCTGGATCGCCAGGGCAGACTGTTGGGAGGTCCTCAGGTCATTGGGCGAGACCTTGGTCATTCTTGTGTGACCTCGAGTTCTTGCAAGGGGGCTGTGATGGAAGCCAGAGCCTGGGCCCCTCCACTCTGCTCCTCAACTGCCTCGTGACCCACTTCCCTCTGCCATCTGGACTGTGGACCCAAAACCGTGGGCTAAATCCACCTGCCTTTGCCTCCTAAGTCACTTGTCATGGGTATTTTGCACAGAGACACCTGCCAAGATTTAGCCTTAAAGGGGTGTAGCCTTGGCCGGCGCCGCGGCTCACAAGGCTAATCCTCTGCCTTGCGGCGCCAGCACACCAGGTTCTAGTCCTGGTGGGGGCGCCGGATTCTGTCCCGGTTGCCCCTCTTCCAAGCCAGCTCTCTGCTGTGGCCCGGGAGTGCAATGGAGGATGGCCCAAGTGCTTGGGCCCTGCACCCCATGGGAGACCAGGAGAAGCACCTGGCTCCTGCCTTTGGATCAGCACGGTGTGCCAGCCACAGTGCACCGGCTGTGGCGGCCATTGGAGGGTGAACCAACAGCAAAGGAAGACCTTTCTGTCTGTCACTCTCTCTCTCTCCCTGTCCACTCTGCCTGTCAAAAAAAAAAAAAAAAAAAGGGGGGGTGTAGCCTAGTGTTGTGACTGCCCCACTGAGCCCTGAGCTCATGGGGGGGGGGGGTGAGGCTGGCCTGAGGTCTATGCCTGGCCTGCTAGCTACCCGTGTTCCCCAGCCGTGGGGCAGCAGCCAGGATGAGCCCCTAGGAGAGAGGCTGGGCCCTGCAGACAGGCAGGGGCCATCACCGCAGCAATTTCGCTGGTTCCCGTTCACTCTCCTGGTTGGCTTTGGCTTATCAAATATTTCTGCACCAGGTTGGTATCTCCAGGAGCTTATTAAGCAAAGCCAGCCGTGAAGAAGCCAAGCCGGCCAGCCTCTTCTCCTCTGACTGCAGTGATGAGAAAAGTTTCGAGAACAGCAAGCGAAAGCAACTGCTACTTGGATGGGAATGAGGCAGGTCTTTGTCTTCCTGCTGTAGCACAAAGGACACTGAATGCGCTCCTCAGAGACGGGCTCACCCAGTTTCCTGGATGCTGGGGGGGGGGGCAGGGGCGTGCTGGGAGCACCAGCAAGTACCTGGGGTTTGAGAACTGCCCGACGAGAATGGACGGGCGGGTGGGCGAGCGGGCATTCCCTCTGCGGTTACTTGGATATCCTAGGAGTGGATTCATTGTTTCGCGGCCCTTCCTGAATTCAAGGGTTTCTCATTTTGCAGGAGGACAGAGGGCTTATTCAGCGGCCGGCTAGCGAGGACACAAGCCGCCAGGAGCTTTGCTGCCAGCTTTTGGGTCTTGCTGGCACAGGTGGCACGTGACTAAGTAGGAGCTTGGAGACTTCTTGGCTGCCATCGCTCGGCACAGAATAGCTCCATTCACACAGCCTGCCAGCAGCTTGCCCCTGCATTAGCTCATTCCCTTCTTATACGCGCCCTCTGGCTGCAAGGGAACTGGGGAGGGCCCCTTGGGTGGGAGGGGGGCACTGCCTGGCCTTTTGGGGGAGGGAAGTGGTGTAGGAGGAACCCATCGCTGATTCTGATCACACGCAGGGCCCACAACAAGTGCACCCCCCCATCCCCTCCAGCTGACACCCGTGCTCCGAGACGGTGCTTTATAGAAAAGGTATAAATGGTATTTAGAGAAAAAGTAGGTGGGCCAGGATGCCCCCTGCTGTGGCCCAGGCCTGGCCGGTTTCCGGGTGGGCCTCCTGGACTGCGTCTCTTGTGCTTCATAAAGCAGTCCTCCACTGCCCAGCTTCACAGAGAGGGAGGCTGCTCAGGACAATTACCTTTCAGCTCGTTCCAGGCATCCCACTTGGCCTTGCCTTTGAGGTCCAACATCCCAGGCCGCTCTTAAATGAGAGAAGACGTTTAGATCTGCTTCCAGTTCCAACAGAGAACTTGTTATCAACTTTCTGGCCGCAAAAGTCATCTTTTATCAGACCTCCTGCTTCTAGGATCTGTCCTGGAGTTAAAGGTGCCTGGCATGGTGGGGCCTGCCTCATGAAACCCAGGTGTCCCGAAATCCAAACATAAAGACCAGCAAGAATAGGAGAAGAACTGCGACATCTCAGGCTTCCTCCCATGCGTGCTCTCGGCTGCAAGATTCCTCAGCTATAAGATTCCTCTCCCTGATGCACTGCTGTAACCATCTTCTAGGCGTCCTTGCCTGCAAGCTGTCTCTTCAAATCCTTGCTCCATTTTTCTGCCCAACCGTTAGTCTATTTCTTGCTGATCTGTGGGAGCTGTAACTGAGGGCGAGGTTTCTTTAAGTTACACCATGGTGTTTATGCTTACCAACCTGTTATCATCTGCAGTTGGGCAAGACTCACTACCTCTGTGCTGGCCAAGTTCACTGCCAGTGGCAGCGACGGCAGCGTCCACAGCCTGGAGCACTGCACCTGAGAGACCTTGAGTGGCCCGAGCACTTTTCGAGATGCACTCCAGGGACGCCTGGAGAAGCCTGCGGAATCCTCAGGAGAACCCCACAGTGGTATCCAGCAGCTATTTCTGCCTCAATGGAACCGTACATCGGTGACATCTGATTCGGAAGCCAACCAATACACGTGGCTACCAAGCCCCTGAAATGTGCTATACACGGACGCAGCCGAAGCCTGACCTCTTCATGCAATTTAATGGACTTATCTTCTATTAAAATTTGCAAAGCTGCACATGGCTCGTAGCTCCTGTACTGAAGAGTTCAGCCCTAGAGCGAACGGACATCTTCCTGACGGAGAGGTGACTGATTCCTGAGCCAGGCTACCCACACTCCTGTGAAAGCAAGTGGCTCGGCCAAAGCAGAGGCCAGAAAAGCAACTCAGCCCCTCTGGCCATCCCCACTTCACCTCTCCTTCCCCACAGCCCACAAAGCCACTGAAAAACTCTGCTCGGCCACAGACCTTGCTGTGCAACCAGGGCTTTGCTTTGCATTGCCTGTCATCCTTAGCTCTGGGCACTGCCTCCTGCTTCCAGCCAAGTGACCAGCCCACCTGCTCCACCCTCCACCCCAGCCACTGCAGCACAGGGGCTAAGTTTGCCTTTCTCCCACCCAGGAGCAGGGAGGTCTCTTTCCGTGCCACCATGGGCACCAAGTCTGAGTTTGCACGGACCTGCGTTGCTCTACTGACACACCCTCCTCTCGGGGACTTGGGGGCAGAAGCAACACTGCCCAAGGCGGGAGAGATAAGAGTATTACAAAACATGGTTGCCCAAAGCACAGCCTCAAAACACAGCACAGGATTTATGGAGAGGGAACAGTCATCAGGCTGCTGGCAGCAAAAGTGCTTCTCACCTGATGCACAAAGCCAGGTGCTTCTCCACTCCTGCCCTGCCATCAGATGGCCAAGTGCACCCACTTTGGTCCTGGCCCATCTAGGGCGGTGGCAGCACGGCTCAACACAGGTACTGTGCGTGAGCGTGTAGAATGAGTCTCGTCCGAGCTGGGACCTTGGCTTCCTAGCTCACAGATGGGAGCCGCTGGTGATCACTGGTGAAGCCCTTTCAAAACCAGGATTTGAATTCTGCTCCCTGAGCCACTGAGAACCCATAGGGGCGCTCCCACAGACTGCCACTCAAGCTGCCAAGGCCACTGGCCACGGCCTGCCTTGAAGAGTGGTGGCGCCTAACCTGGGCTCGGCATACCTGTGTTGACGTCACCCACGGTTGCCTGTTTGTAATGGCTGTAGATAAACAGCATCTCTGCGTCTGCTGGCTTGGTCTTGAGGTTCTTAACTTCCTCTGCAGCTTTCTCAAACTCAGCCTGAGTGGGCGGTTAAGGAAAGCAATGAGGGTCTGTTTCAGGAGGAGAGGTGGTGAGTCTAGACTCGCTTGAACCCGGCCCCCAGAGGGTGGGGATGGAGAGGGCAGACAGTCAGGCACTTCCTCCTGCAACGCTGGTCGGGGAAGGGCAGCTCCCCGCCGCCACAGGGCAGTTAGAAAAGATCCTGCCCAACCCTGGGCAGTCTTGGGTCCTGAGCGCTCAGGTGCTGGAGGCAGCGGGGACTGCCTGCGAGCGAGGTGCACTCGGTGGGAAAGCTGCCCGGCCCACTTCGGGGAATGGTTCAGCCCTGCGGAGCCCTGGCTGGTGCACGGGGGTGGCAGGGCGTGCTCAGGACAGGGGAGGAGGGGACAGGGCCCGCGTGCTATGGGGTCAGCAGCAGGAGCCGCTGGGGCCGCGGGCGACCTCTGTCCCCGCGCCCAGCCCAGGGAAAGGCAAGTGGGAGGAGCCGAAAGGTCGCCCCGTAGAACTGGATCTTGGACAAGGTCTACACTGCAGCGAAGGGGGAGGGCTCACGTCCTTCTCCCCCGGCCGCGAATCCCCCTCTGGCGGCTGGCCTCCTGGACCTTTAGGTCCTCGCCCCGCCGCGACGCCCCGAGTCCGGCCATTCCTTTCGGATGGGGGCCTCCCTCCCTTCCCCTCGCACATCGTCCCCCGTCTTTCCATCTGGGACGTTCGCCTCCAATCATCGCCAAGTCCACCCCACGCGCGACCTTCCAGGCGCTGCGGGGCGGGCAGCAGCTCCAGAGGTCCCAACATGGAAAGTTCCGCTCACAAGGCTCGGCCCAAGGCATCCAGGCTGGGCAAGGGGCCAGGAGCAACCGCGAGCATTAAAGGGGGCGACCCTGAGGGATTCAGCTCGTGGAGACCCCACCCCGGCGTCCGGTCCCGCTGCATCTTTGCAGGCTGCCTGGGCACGCGTCGTACCTGAGACATGCTGGCCGCGATGCAAAAATCCCCGGGAGCCACGGAGAAGGCGAGAGACAGGAAGCAAGAGCGTAGGAGCGGACTGGCAAGCGCCTTTGCAAGTGCAGCCCTAGGCGTCCCGGCCCGGCTCGGGCGAGCGTCGAGCAGCCAATCAGAAGCCCGCTTTACTCTAGGGGCGTGTCCAGCCCCGCCCGAGCCCACGTGGGCCTGCTCGCGCACGCGCGGGCAGGAGCCGAAGGGGACGCCGGGAGCAGGTGGGGATCGCGGAAGTAGGGCGCGCTTGGCAGGGAGGGGTCGGGTCCTGGGGTTAGTCCCCGGCCGATGGGGAGGGGGCGGGGGCCGAGAGCAGAGGGCTTTGGGTTTGTTTTCTTAAATCTAGTGCCCGGCGTGAAGATGCCGGAAGGTGCACCTCGGGAGAGGTAACCTGTCTGCCCGGGTATGGCGAGGGGGACCCTCTGCTGTCTGGGGGCTGCGGGGTGGTGGGATGCGGGACTGGCCCCCCAGAAAGGCCGAGCGGAGGTCTCTCACTCTGAACTCTGACCCTCCTGTGGCTCTGGGTTTCAGCCCTCTGTTGCACGTTCGTGTGTGTGGGGCCTTTCTCCATCCGGTTCATTAAGGGCCGGGGCAGTGCCCTACAGAACTGAGAAACGGTCGTAGCAGGTGTCTGTCAAACACTAGTTACATGAATGATGCTTTCTTCAGTCGCCAGTGTATTAGACCTTGGAAGACAGCAGTGGATCAAATACACGAATCCTTGCAATCATGGAAGTTACACTGGGGATAATAGTTAACATGATACTTAAACATTTTTACTTGAAAGGCAGTTACCAAGAAAGATCTTCTGTCCAGTAGTTCATTCCCCAAATGGCCCCAATAGCCTGGGCCAGGCCAAGCCAAAGGCAGGAGCCAGAAACTCCTTAGGGATCTCCCCTGTGGGTGCAGGGGCCCAAGGAGTTGGCCTGTCTTCCTCTGCTTTCCCAGGTGTATTAGCAGGGAGCTGGGTTGAAAGTGGAGTAGCTGAAACTCTGACTGGAGCTCCTGTGGGATGCTGGCATTACAGGCTTTGACATAACCCTCTGTGCCACACCGCAGTCCCCAAACAGGAGTTTAATAGAGTTTTTTAGGGCCATAGAGAATTGGACATTTATAGTTTTAAATGTGGGCTGGGTATTGAGGAAGGGTGGCATGTGAGAGAGCCCCTCAAGAAGGGGGAGGTACAGTCCCTCAGAGGGGTCTAAAGAGGGGAGTGGGGAATGAGGCAAAGAACAGAAAGAAATGTGGCTGGGGCGTTAAGGAGGTGAGGGGCTGGCGAGGTGCTGCAGAGCTTGGCTGCGCCAGTGACTTTGGCCTTGATCCTGAGTGAGATGGGGAGACTGGGGGAAGGTCTTCGGGAGGTGCTTAGAGAGGCTGATCTCCATGGGAACAGACGGGGGCAGCTGCCCAGGTGGAGGGTGATGCTCCAGAGGCCAAAACAGTGGTTGCAAAGGAGCTGGTGAACGGAGGGAGGTGATGGAAACGTTCCTGGCTCAGTCCTCTCGAGTTCCTAATTTCTGGCGAGAGGGGTGGGCTGTAAATCCCCACCCCCACTCCTCTACAGCTGTAGGTATACAGGAGGGAGGGCCAGGCATAACTTCCTGGAAGTGTAGGTCAGTATTTATGAAGTCTTGAGAAGTGGCAATAGGAAACACATCTAGACTCTTCAGTCTATGAATAACTTTGTCTAAGAAAGCAAAATGAAACAAATATTGGGAGTTAAATTTGGGGAAATTGTGTTTGAAGTGTTAAGAATCTAGAATGAGGGGTCGGGCCGTGGCATTGTAGGTAAAGCCTCTGCCTGCAGTGCTGGCATCCTATATGGGTGCCAGTTCATGTCCCAGGTACTCCTGATCCAGCTCTCTGCTATGGCCTGGGAAAACAGTGGAAGATGGAGCAAGTGCTTGGGCCCCTGTACCTATATGGGGGACCCAGAAGAAGCTCCAGGCTCCTAAGCCCAGATCAGCCCAGCTCCAGCTGCTGCAGTCATTTGGGGAGTGAACCAGCAGATGGAAGACCTCTCTTTCTGTCTCACCCTCTCTCTGTAACTATGCCTCTCAAGTAAATAAGTCTTTTTCTTTTCTTTTTTTTTTTAACTTTTATTTAATGAATATAAATTTCCAAAGTACAGAATATTGATTACAATGGCTTCCCCCCCATAACGTCCCTCCAACCCGCAACCCTCCCCTTATCCACTCCCTCTCCCCTTCCATTCACATCAAGATTCATTTTCGATTCTCTTTATATACAGAAGATCAGTTTAGCATACATTAAGTAAAGATTTCAACAGTTTGCTCCCACACAGAAACATAAACTGAAAAATACTGTTTGAGTACTAGTTATAGCATTAAATCTCAATGTACAACACACTAAGGACAAAGATCCTACATGAGGAGTAAGTGCACAGTGACTCCTATTGTTGACTTAACAAATTGACACTCTTGTTTATGGCCTCAGTAATCACCCTAGGCTCTTGTCATGAGCTGCCAAGGCTATGGAAGCCCCCTGAGTTCACCGACTCTGATCATATTTAGACAAGGCCATGGTCAAAGTGGAAGTTCTCTCCTCCCTTCAGAGAAAGGTACCACCTTCTTTGATGACCCATTCTTTCCACTGGGATCTCACTCGTGTAGGTTTTTTTTTTTCCCCTCAGAGTGTCTTGGCTTTCCATGCCTGAAATACTCTCATGGGCATTTCAGCTGGATCCGCATGCCTTAAGGGCTGATTATGAGGCCAGAGTGCTGTTAGGACATTTGCCATTCTATGGGTCTGCTGTGTATCTCACTTTCCATGTTGGATCATTCTCTCCCTTTTTGATTCTATCAGCTAGTATTTGCAGACACTAGTCTTGTTTATGTGATCCCTTTGGTTCTTAGTCCTATCATTACGATCAATTGTGAACAGAAATTGATCTCTGGCACTAGTGAGATGGCATTGGTACATGCCACCTCGATGGGATTGAATTCGAATCCCCTGGTATGTTTCTAACTCTACTGTTTGAGGTAAGTCAGCTTGAGCATGTCCTGAATTGCACATCTCTTCCCTCTCTTATTCCCACTCTTATATTTAACAGCGATCACTTTTCAGTTAAGTTTCAGCACTTAAGAAGAATTGTGTATTGATTACAGTATTCAACCAAAAGTATTAAGTAGAACAAACAAAAAAAATACTAAGAGGGATAACATATTAAGCTGTTCATCAACAGTCAGGGTGAGGGCTGATCAAGTCACCATTTCTCATAGTGTTCATTTCACTTTAACAGGTTTCCTTTTTGGTGCTCAGTTAGTTGTCACCTATCAAGGAGAACAAATGGTATTTGTCCCTTTGGGATTGGCTTATTTCACTCAACATAATGTTTTCCAAATTCCTAACAGGGATCACTTTTCAGTTAAAATTTAAACACCTAAGAATAATTGTGTTTTAATTACAGAGTTCAACCAATGGTACTAGAACAAAAAAAATACTAAAATGGATAAAGTATTACATTGTACATCAACCATCAGGACAAGAGCTGATCAAGTCACTGTTTCTCATAGTGTCCATTTCACTTCAACAAGTTTCCCCTTTGGTGCTCAGTTAGTTGTCGCCAATCAGGGAGAACATATGATATTTGTCCCTTTGGGACTGGCTTAATTCACTCAGCATGGTGTTTTCCAAATTCTATAACTATGCCTCTCAAGTAAATAAGTCTTAAAAAAAATCTAGAATGATAGTTCAGAACATTTCCCCTCCCGCCTTGGGGGCCTAGACAGAAGCCTGGATTCATTTTTGCTGTTCCTATTGCAAATTTGAAAAGATGAAGGATCTTTCAGAATGAAATTTTCCTTATCATTTTTCAAAGTTCATTTAATGCGTTTGAGTTTGTTTTACAGATTTATTTATTTACTTTGAAAGTTAGTTACACAGAGAGAGAAGGAGAAGCAGAGAGAGAGAGAGAGAGAGAGAGAGAGGTCTTCCAACTGCTGGGTCACTTCCCCAATTGGCTGCAATGGCCGGAGGTGCATCGATCCAAAGCCAGGAGCCGGGAGCTTCCTCTGGGTCTTCTCTTGCGGGTGCAGGGGCCCAAGGGTTTAGGCCATCTTCTACTGCTTTCCTAGGCCATAGCAGAGAGCTGGATCGGAAGTAGAGCAGCCAGATCTCGAACTAGCGCCCATTTGGGATGCTGGCACTGCAGGCAGCAGCATTACCTGCTGCGCCACAGTGCCGGCCCTGTGATTGAGTTTTGACCAGAGTTAAATATTGTAGAAAGCCAGGCTAGTGTTTGACATTAACTCCGCAGTCTTCAGTTTCAGTAGAGTTGGCTCAGTGAGTGCTTGTTAGGTTACGCTCCATGTTCCTAAAAGATTTTTTTCCCACACAGTGGCCTTGTGCCCAGAGGAGTTGCCAAATGTTACTAAAAGTTGGTGAACTTTGTTTCTTGTGAGAGCTGTGGGTACCGGGAAGCTGGGTGCTAAGTGACTTTTTATTATTATTATTATCATCAAAAAGCTTAATGTTTTTATTTGAGAGAGAAAGAGCTCCTATCTGCTGGTTCACTCCCCAGATGCCCACAACAGCCTTTGCCAGGAGCAAGGAGTGCAATTCAGGTCTTCCAGGTGAATGACAGGGACCCAGTTACTTGAGCCATCATCGCTGCTTCCTGGGGAATACGGAAGGAGGTAGCTGGAGTCAGGAGCTGGGTATACCTACGTGCTCTGACCTGGGACACAGGCCCTTAGTCCTGGACCAGCAGCCTGTTCACTGAATGATCTTGGGAAGGGGAGAAGAGAATGTTTCCTTGTTACAGGGCCTGCCCGGGGCCAGATTTCAAAATAGCCTAAGGCATGCTCTTTGGCCTACTTTTTGTCTCCTTGCCTCACTACTTAGTGTTTTTGGTGTCTCCGTCTATGGCCATGGCTGCCTTAAAGCCCTCTGCTTGGCATGTCAGCCCCAGGGAGTTGGGATGGCGCTCTGTGTTCAACATAAAGAAATGACAGCAAGCCAGCAGCTGTGGTTTCCTCCTCTCCTCCTCCTTCTCTTCTTCT